CGTTTTCAGGTGATCACCGTCGATCCATCGCTTCCAATGAGTACTGCCGCAATGCCTTCCAGACCTCGTTCAGGTGAGCCATCATATCCCCAACGGAAATGTGTTCTGGAAGATACATGTGCTGTGTTTTCGGGGCGTTGATCCATGAATCTCCCCACCTGGGAAGGTGCCGATCATTACGGGAGCATGTTGGCCAAAGGCCATGTTCAAAGAAGTGAATCTTGGCACTTTCCCAGTCAGGGAGCTGCATGGATGCTGGGTTCTCTGCTGTACAAGTGTCTTAGTCAGCTACCCGATCTATGTTTGTGTTCCGGATTGCAAGGGTGTTACCACAAGGGATTTGTGCTTCATGCCTGTCTGTGTCTGTCCTGACTTCTCCTCATCCTGTTCTTTTGACCACTCCGACAATCGGTTGACTTCTCCTGCTATCTATTTTAAGTTCTGAGTGATTACTTTCACCACTATCACTCAGGGCTGAGCGGAAGTCGGGACTCAGAAGGGGCTGTGGACTCTCACCCACGCCTTGGAACGGAAAGTGTCGCTCAGCCTTGGAAGTCTGACATGTCCCAGAAATCTTTTTCTTTGACCTCTGAGAGTAACCCAATATTTCATTCCGTTAGAGTGGATGGCTGTGTGATCTTTGACTTTGTACTACTAGGAAAGGCTGAGCTCAGCCCACGAAACGTTCTGCGCGCGGCATTTGCACCACGGAGCGTGGCTGAGAGGATTCACCGCTTCTCCCCATCTGCGACAGCCACATTGGAGCAGAAATGTAGGTTAGGGCACATTAGATGCGGCTTAACGGAAACCCTAGCTAGATGGCTCAAGGTACCAGTTCGGCAGCACATCAGTTACGTCAGACCGGCCCACGTCCCTATTCCATGACCCCCAAAGGTACCGTTCGGCCAGCGCACATCGTTACGTCAGACCGGCCCACGTACCATACTAGTCCCTATTCCATGACCCTAGAGGGAATGCCCGTTCTGTTCTCTTTTTGGAGCGCGACACGCCGGCGTTCTTATCGTCACTGACAGATCTGGCACTTGTTTACCGTACCTGGAGGGTGTAAGCCGCCGAGCGGAACCCACGGTGGGCCGCGCGCGTGGTGAGCGAACCTCCTGGCGCTCCTCTCCGCCTATTTCAGGACCCTTCTCTCGAGAAATTTAAGGGCAAAGTCCGCGATCATTCTCCATCACAGATAGTGGATTAGGGGTTCGCATGAAGACGATAAGTTTCTGAATAAAGTATATAGTGAGGAAAAAAGCAGAAAAAATGCCAAACTGCCTAGATAGCACCCATCTCAATTCCAGCTACACATGCCCATTGGACTCCATTTCCCAACACTACGGCCCCCATCGTGTGCTTATGCGCCGATAAGAATTCTTACTACCGTACAAGTGACGATCTTGCATGCTTTCTCGTCCCGTGCGTTCGGTGTTTACTGAAGGCGGGCTTTGACGCGCCGCAGCCCGGAGGCGAGTCACTGCGAAAAAGGAGGGCGTCACTGAACCTACAGCACCCAACCCTTACTTTTTTGCCGCGAAACCGGTACAAAGTTGTTCGTCGCAGACCACGCTTCCCTCCCGACGCCATATTCAACTTCTATACCTGATCACGAACCCTGCTCTCAAACAAGTAGTAACTTGCCAATCATTAATTGAAGGCTAAGGAAATGGTAGAAAAACGTAGGTCCTTTGCTACTCAATTTTATTTATTGCCCGGATAGAGCAGGGGAGTAGAATGTATAGACCATTTATGCGGTGGCTCTTGAACATGCCAGCGCCTTGTCTTTTACTACACCCTTAGGACGAGCGAAGCGTTCTTGTCAGTAGTACTGCGATCCTAACTCGTTTTGCTCATCTTCAAGTAGAATTGAGACCAGCTCAAGAAAAAACCATTGGCATAGAAAGTTTGTAACAACAAGGACTGGACAAACCATAGTGATTGAGCTCGCTGCTTACAGTTGGCAGTGGCTCGTACATGGGTCCTCCACCACCGCCTCCTGTAAGCATCCATCGACTTCGTTATCTCTTCGAGGAAGTCAAAGTCTCTACGGATTCAACGGTAATCTATCGCAGTCTTGCTTCTATGCCTCCTGCATGCTTCTCACTTTCTTAAACGATTTTACACTAAAACTTTTCCTTTGGCACGATGCATGATACGAAAGGCATGACTATTCATTGGGTTCGGAAGATTTTCCTCTTTTCATCCCAGGATTGAGCTACAAGCTGCTGATTTATCAGGCACCCTTTCCCCTGACGTTTTGTGCACTGTGCCGTGAATAGCATATCTCCTTTGTCCTTTTTTGCATGCCAGTGACGTGAGCTCATCAATAATTTTCCATTTTACTGTCGTACCTTCAGGAGGGAATGAGGAATATTACTCCCCTGGACAGCTACATTCCAATTATGGCGAAACTCGTTGCGCTTCAGTGAAGCAAAGGCATGGTGGGGGTCGAAGAATCTCAGCGGCAGAATTGGAGACTTATGATCGGCAAGGAGATCGGCACAACTTATCAGGCGATCCTTATGATCAAGGTAATGAAGCTGGAGAGGCTTAGTAATGTAGCGCTCATATGGCCGTAACGTTTCAACAAATTCGGTGTTTGTCAGGACTCGACTGGCTTCGCAGACCCAAAAAGTTACAACTCGTTATCGTGATATGATAAGAGGAGGAAGCAGCTGAGACGGCTCCGTCGACCACAATGGTCTTCAGAGGTCTGTGATTACTCGTAGTGGTTTTGTCAGCAATTACCATTGCCGTTCACTGAAGGACCTTTGCAAGGCAGCCTCTGCGAAATTTTTTTTTGCGGTTTGGCCTGAGTAGGGGAGATTATGGTTTGTGCAGCTCGTTAGTAGCGTCCCTTTCTCGCTCAAAAGTGCACGGGAACGAGTGTGGGGGGCGCAGGGTGGAGGAACCCGGGTGCCACCTCAGGCTTCTGCCCGCGCTCACCACGGCCAGCCACACGCGTAACCATGGGTAAACGTACTGCATGTCTGCGCCCTCTCACTTCTGGTTGCTGTCTGCCTCTGACTGCGTATTCGCTGCGGGAATTTGTATCGAGAATCAATCGTGCTATTATAGCGTGTCTCGTCGGGCGACAGCACAAGGGCGTCACTATTCCCAGGCCCGATCTTGAGTGGCGGAAGTGTCACGCTGCTGTAGCTGCGGACTTATTCATCTCCTACATGGGAAAGTGAATTCCTCGGAGGTCTGTACAGTTCGTCCTTGGAAAGATTCAAAAAGATGAAGCTTTTCAATTACGAACATGATAAGGGACAACCGGTATGTTCAGGCGCAGTTTAGGCTGATTAGTACGGGCAGCAGGCAGTATGACCACCTCATTGGCGGCGCACTGCTCCTTTTAATTGGCGTGGAAGGATGGTTGCACCAACGAGGGGTCCTTTGTTTCCTGCCCAGCCTGTTACGGAATAATTCTCATCCTTGCTTCAACTGTGCAGCAGCATATGTACCATTAGTTTACCTACCTACCTTTAGTTCCTGGCCAATACCGCGTACACGAAACCCTTCATAACTCTGATTTCGTAACGACATCGTGACTTGGATCTCCCAACCAATCACGCATAGTTTTATAAAAGTCGTTTCGGTGCAGCGACTTATATACCTTGCACAACTTACAAGATGAAATGTATTGAATTCTCTAATAATCCGAGTTGCAGAACAATCAGCCCATGAACTCCATTTACGGTTCTCCTATGAAGACGTATTCGAGCTCACCGGATATCCCTCACATGAATTCCTTCGAATTAGCTGAGGACGACAGTTCATCTACCACGTCGCAGAATGACGATCGACTTGGATACTTGCAGCATTCTCAGAGTGGCGGTTACTTCCAGTCAGGTGGTGAATACAGCAGGCCATTTCGGCCAGCTTTCCGACCGAAAACCCCTCCACCACCACCGCCTCCACCCCAGTCGTCCTTACCACAAACCCCTAACTCACAGAGGTTAGTTGTAATTATGAAGTCTCCTTCTTTGAGGGATACTATTTATCATATTCAGGTTACCATCGTCGCCATATGGTAGTAACCATGTGAAGCAGAACAGTTCCAATGGGTCAGCCACGACTCACATTGTGGTCCCTACTCCTAATGACTCTGGTGATACTCCGTCTCCACCTCCGCTTCCGCAGAGTTCGCCTCCTTCAAGTAATACTACGCCTCTCAGCGGCTAACAGTTGAAATTAATTGAGGTTTTCACTTATTTCAGGCTCTAAGTCAAGCATCGTACCGCCTCCTCCCCCACCTCCACCTCCCAATTTACTGAAACTCCCTGCAGCATCGTCAAGCACATCCGTAGGATCTGCAAAGGCTGGTATATCGGTGGAGGCGCTTCCGCTCAGTGGCGCTGAAAAAGGCAGAGGTGAGTGACAACCGCTTCTCTGGAACTTTATTGAGAGCGCAGTTTTTTTTTCTGGAAATTTATTAGGGCGCAGTTCGGCAAGGGGGGGGGGGGCCGTCTTCCATTTTCGGTGAATCCTGTGAACTCTTTTGAAGCTGGAGCAAA